TATAAACTCAATAAATAACCATCATTTATTTTAAGTAAATTTGCATATCTCATCTGAGCCCCGGGCTCCCATCCAATAAAGTGGCGTGATTCGTATAGTCCCTGACTACCGAAAACACACGTGTGGCTGGATTGTACGTCTACTCCCCAGATGATTCCTGATCACGTCCACACAATAAGGGCTAATTAGACCCATGGCCATAATAAAAGGGTAGTCCACTCCCAATAGGCAGGTCCCTGACCATACCCAAAAGTCATCATTGGGTCAGTCCCTGACTACCCCTCCGACTAATCCAAATTCATCCATTAATTATTAATTATGATGAATTATGAAAGATATCATTAATTAATATTTCAAATTAATAGTTAATGCACCCAAATATCATTTTAATTTAAAAACAGAACCCTAATGATCTAACTAGTGAGAGTAGAAAATTTCTGGACATAGCCTAACATTAGATATAATACCCTGCAAAATTTCAGAATTTATCTCTTAATAGTTTTTCCATACTCTCCCTTTTAGTGTTGAGAAATAATTTTTTTTTTATAAGGTTTTATTTGGTAAACCTACCGAAATAACATTTAAAATCTGGATTTTTAACAAAACCAGATTCATTATACAAAAATATAATATTCTGGTATCTAACACAATTTTTGATATATTTAAAATATTTTTCCTTTATTTTCTAATGTAAAACTATAAAAAATAATAATAATTGTTAAGTATATTATTTCAACGCAATACAACAACACACTATTCCTCACTCAGTGTTGCCGAGAGTAGTTGAATCATAGAACCCAAAACAAATGAGTCTTTTACCCAAAATAGTTCTATGCAATAAAATTTAACACCTAAAATGGGTCTTCCACCAGTTTGAAGTTATTCTTTCAAGAACCTCAGCCAATAACCTCTAAATTGTGTTCCCAACCATGCACGACCAAGTACAAATCCACCTTGTTAAAAACAGGTCATACCCACATTCATGGGTTATTTATTGCTTAATTTATTAACATACACACGTGAATTAATTCATGAAACTAGTCTAAACACCATGATTTTTAATCCCAAAGTAATGATTTCCAAGACCCAGTTCTAGTACTAATCCACTGCCATATAACAACATACACACATGAATACCTCTTTGAGTGAAACTCTACAGGAATTTCATTCCTATAAATATATATCTACCACATGAAGATTACATTACTTCAAACAGTCCACACATAAACACACGCACTATATATAATTACAGTAGATCAGATTTGCCCTTAATCAAAACTTAAAGTTAAGATTATATGAAATTTTATATACACAAATACAAATATACTTAAAGGTTCATGTATCTTAATTGTAACCAAAGTAACTCTACAAATTACATACATGCATAGTCATTCTCAAACACGTAAATATGAGTACATTAATATATAAATCGTTATTATTACTATAAATTATAACAATGAAATAATCTAAATTTCATATTCAACCAATAACATTATTCGTAAGAAAGGTAAAGACTCTTAAGGTTACTTGATTAAATACAAATATTTATGCAACCAATTTATAATGTATTCTTAATCATCATCACAGTGACTTGCAACAAGATATTAAAATATGTTAAAATATACATCTTTTTAAGAAGTTACGAATATATATAGAACTACAATGCAAGATTAACTTGCCTGGGTAATTAACTCTTCCTTCCTACGCGAATTCCCACTTATCGTTCCTTCCCTCAGCTACTGCAGAAAGATACGACGTCAGATCACTCTCTCTGGATCTACGTCCTATCACGCTGTATCGTGCTAATATTATAAATATATTTTTTAAAAAATAATGTCCTCGTAGAACTGATATGACGTGAAATATAAAGATAACTATAACTGCATTTAAGATTGTTTAGGATTCCTATTTAAATTTTAAATTTAAAAACTCTAATATCTCTACTATATTTTTAAATTCAAACATAGATAACCATTAAATTAAATTATATATATATATATATATATATATATATATATATATATTTATTTATTTAATTTTACACGGGTCTTACATTCTACCCTCCTAGAAGAAATTTCGCCCTTGAAATTTGCGTACCTTATTCGAATAGATGTGGGTACTTTCCCTTCATTTCTGACTCTAGCTCCCAGGTAGCCTCTCTCTCGTCCTGATGATTCCACTGCACCTTCATTAGAGGTATCTCTGTCCGCCTCAACTGTTTCACCATACTGTCAATGATGCGAATAGGAGTCTCAACATAGGTTGCGTTAGGACGCAACTGAACCTCTGTGCAGTCAACTGCCTGAGTTTCATCCCTCAAGCACCTCCTCAACATAGAGACATGGAAAACATCATGAACAGCAGATAGTCTGGGTGGTAAGGCCAATCTATATGCCACTTTCCCAATACTCTCTGTGATCTCAAAAGGTCCGATGAATCGAGGAGCTAACTTCCCTTTCTTCCTACCAAATCTCGTAACCCCCTTCATTGGTGATACTTTCAAGAACACCAAGTCACCCACACTAAACTCCAAAGCACTACGGCGTCGGTTTGCATAACTCTTTTGTCGACTCTGAGCTGTGCGAAGTCGATCTCGAATGATGGCAACCTTCTCCGTAGTCTCTTGCACCAACTCTGGCCCCAAAAAACTACCATCACCAACCTCAGCCCAACATACAGGTGAATGATAAGGTTTACTATAAAGTGCCTCATATGGTGCCATGCCGATACTAGCCTGATAGCTATTATTATAAGCGAACTCAACCAATGGAATGTGATCCTCCCAACTGCCCCGAAAATCTAGCACACAAGCACGAAGCATATCCTCCAACACCTGAATGACCCTCTCGGACTGGCCGTCGGTCTGAGGATGAAAAGCAGTACTCAAACTCAAAGGAGTACCAAAAGCTGCTTGGAAACTACTCCAAAATCGAGATGAAAAACGAGGATCACGATCTGAGACAATAGACACCGGCACTCCATGAAGCTTAACTATGTCTCTAATGTAGATCTTACACAATTCCTTTACAGTATCAGTAGCTCGAATGGGTAGAAAATGAGCTGATTTAGTCAATCGGTCCACTATCACCCACACTGTATCATGGTTATGTATCGACCTCGGTAACCCCACAACAAAATCCATCAACACATGTTTCCATTTCCACTCAGGCACAGGCAAAGGCTGTAATAGTCCTGCTGGTCTCTGGTGCTCAGCTTTCACTCGCTGACAAGTGAGACATCTAGATACAAACTCTGCCACATCACGTTTCATGCCTTCCCACCAGAACTGCCTCTTAAGATCATAATACATCTTAGTGCCACCTGGGTGCACTGTGTACCTAGAGTGATGTGCCTCCTCTAAAATCTCTCTCTTGAGGTCTGCTAAGTCTGGAGCACATAGCCTACCTCGAAATCTCATACCACCATCAGCTCCATACGCCCAGTCAACATTACCTTCATCATTAACAGACTCAACTGCTTTGGTCTGTAACCTGTCATCCTGAGTCTGAAAATGAATGATTCGGCTGATCAAATTAGGTTATACAGTCAAACTACAAAGAATAGCCCCTGTGCTCTGAGAACTCGGCATGATAGAAAACTCTGCCAATGCCTCTAACATCATCCACTCCTGAATCATCATAAAGGCAACTAATCCTCTCAGTTTCCGACTCAAGGCATCTGCTACCACATTCGCCTTTCCAGGATGATACTCAAAAGTCATATCAAAATCCTTCATCTTCTCCATCCATCTCCGTTGCCTCATATTCAACTCCTTCTGAGTGTAGAGGTATTTGAGGCTCTTGTGATCAGAGAATAACTCAAATTCCTCGCCATACAAGTAATGCCTCCACACCTTCAATACAAGAACCACTACTGCCAATTCCAGGTCATGTGTAGGGTAATTTTGCTCATGTGGCTTAAGCTGCCTAGAGGCATACGCTACCACCTTATCATCTTGCATCAATACACAGCCAAGACCCTGATGTGATGCATCTGTGTAGATCACAAATCTCTCACCACTAGCAGGAATAGTAAGAACTGGTGCTGATGTCAATCTCGTCTTCAGCTCCTCAAACGCCTGTTCACAGCGATGGTCCCAAACAAACTTTACATCCTTCCGAGTCAACCGGGTTAAAGGTGCAGCAATCTTGGAGAAACCCTCAATAAAGCGCCTGTAGTATCCTTGCCAGTCCTAAGAAGCTACGAATCTCAGTGACAGTAGTAGGTCGTTTCCAACTCATCACAGCCTCCACCTTGGCAGAATCTACTGAAACTCCATCCTTAGAGATCACATGCCCCAAAAACTGAATCTGCTCCTGCCAAAAGTCACACTTCTCAAACTTAGCATAGAGTTGATGCTCACGCAAAGTCTGAAGTGTAATGCTCAAGTGTCTCTCATGCTCCTCCTTAGTCTTGGAATATATCAGGATGTTATCAACAAATACTACAACAAACTGATCCAAGTAAGGTCGAAACACTCGGTTCATCAAATCCATAAAAGCTGCCGGAGCGTTAGTCAACCCAAAAGGCATGACTAAAAACTCATAGAGGCCATAACGAGTCCTGAAGGCAGTCTTAGGAATATCCTCCTCCTTAATCCTCAGTTGATGGTATCCAGTCCTCAAGTCAATCTTAGAAAACAACTGTGCCCCTCTAAGTTGATCAAACAAATCATTAATGCGTGGCAATGGGTACTTATTCTTAATAGTGACCTTATTCAGCGTACGGTAGTCAACACATAAGCGGAGTGACCCATCTTTCTTTTTGACAAATAAAACAGGTGCTCCCCAAGGTGATGTGCTAGGTCGAATAAACCCTTGATCTTGCAACTCTTGAGTCTGCTTCTTCAACTCACTTAATTCAACTGGCGCCATTCTGTAGGGTGCCCTAGAGATAGGTGAAATACCAGGAGTGAGGTCGATGCAGAAATCCACTGCCCTCCTAGGAGGCAAACCCGGAATATCCCGAAACACATCTGCATACTCTAACACTGTAGGCAACTACTCTATAGTCACCCATTGCTCAACCACCTCGATGTGGGCCAGAAATCCCATAGTCATGGTGCCCTCAAACTCCCCACACTTATATCGAGAAGGTAACTGTCCCGGAACTAAGAATACAATAATCCTCTCATGGCAGTCCAACTGAGCATGATATCTAGCCAACCAATCCATACCTAGTATACCATCAAATTCTCTCATACGTAATACTATTAAATCAATAGGATACTCCAACTCCCCAATTGTAACAGGGCAAGCACGACATATTCTATCAAGTGTCGTCGCGCTCCCGAGTGGAGTTGTAATAGATAAGGCATTACTTATATGTCCAGGTTCTAATCCCAGTGTATCCACAAATGATAGTGCAATAAAAGAATATGAAGAACCTAAATCAAATAGTACTCTAGCTATACTGCCATAAATAGTAAGTGTACCTTCCACTGTTGGTGGTGCACGATCCTGTCTCCCATCTGGAACAACTGCATAAACCCTTGCACCTCCCTGTTGCTGTGGTGCCTGACCTTTCTGCTGGTTATTCTTGTGAGGCTTAGGACAATTACGAGCCAAATGTCCTTGCTCACGACAATTATAGCAATGGCCGCTGACCTGATATGGCTGTGCATCATGAGGTGTGGCTGGTACTAAAGCTGTGGATTGCTCACTTTCACCAACTCTCTGCCGTTTCCCTGCTCGCCAATCTTGTCTACCTCTCTGCCAAGACTGACCCTGCCAATTTCTCTAAGTCTGCTACTGCTGACCCCTCTGATTCTGTTGAGAGCTACTCTGATTCTGTTGAGTGCTGCTAGCCCCCTTACCTTTCTGTTCTGCCCTACGCTCCTTCTATTTCTGAAAGGCAATGTTATTATTCTCCTCTACTACTATAGCACATTCCACCACTCTAGCATAAGTGTTAAAACGATGACCCACCACAAACTTCTTCACATAAGAGACCAATCCTCGCTCAAACTTTCTAACCTTGTGTAACTCATTCGCAACAATGTGAGGAGTGAATCGGGATAGCTCTGTAAACTTCCTCCCGTACTCACTAACTGACATCTCATTATTCTGTTCTAGTTGCATGAACTCTGTTGCCTTCTTCTCCTTCACTGATTGTGGAAAGTATTTGTCATTGAACCGAGTTTTAAAATCATCCCAGGTCATAGTTGTAATGTCCACAACCATCCTGGTCTCTGACTGCCACCACTGGCGCGCCTCACCAGATGAAAGAAATGCACCAATCTTCCTTTTCTGCACCTCAGTGCAGTCCATCATCTCAAAATACTTTTCTATATCTTCAATCCACTTCTCAGCATCAAGTGGATCGGTAGCTCTAGCAAATTCAACAGCCCCCAGTTTGCGGATATCTCTGATAAATCCAATCATAGGATTCGGCACATGAGGTGCATCCTCCAACTGAACATCGTCATGGTTAACACCACCACGACCAACACCTCCCTGACCTCTGCCTCTAGCAGGTCGTCCTCTGCCTCTTCCAGCTCCTGACATCCTATTTTCAGTAAAGAATGTCAATGATAAGTCTCACAAGTAATTTATACTTAAACTGGAGCATGGTAAGAGAGCAATAATTCATATAAGTATATGCTCCTATTCTTACTAGCACTTCTCTTAGTCAGGTAATTCTTAACCTAGGCTCTGATACCAAACTGTCATACCCCAAAAACTAATACAAGAACTACTTGTCCTGCATAAAAAAAAAATCTAAGGTACAACTTCCATCAATTCTCAACATACATCCTCCATAATAAAACTACGATGAATCCCGTCACTCAATTTAACAAACATGAGAGTCTGACAAATTTTATACAAATCCATAAATAGAGGTGCAATTCCCTCTAGTAAAACAAAACATCTATGACCACTGAATCAACTCAATAAAGTTTCATAAAACCTTAACTTTATTACAATAATCAGAATAAAGGAAAATCGAACTAAAATAAATCAATGCGCAACGAGCTAAAATCCGTTCCCGTCACGTGTCACCATCACGTTCCTACTCTACGAGCACCTGAAATGTGATAATGGGGTGAGCTCACAAGCTCAACAAGAAATGCTAAACACAATCATCGTTCAACAAGCTAACTTTACCTTGTATTCCCATATATATAAGCAACTCAATAAATTCATTAATTAAAGGTATATTCTAGTTAATTATAAACTCAATAAATAACCATCATTTATTTTAAGTAAATTTGCATATCTCATCTGAGCCCCGGGCTCCCATCCAATAAAGTGGTGTGATTCGTATAGTCCCTGACTACCGAAAACACACGTATGGCTGGATTGTACGTCTACTCCCCAGATGATCCCTGATCACGTCCACACAATAAGGGCTCATTAGACCCATGGCCATAATAAAAGGGTAGTGCACTCCCAATAGGCAGGTCCCTGACCATACCCAAAAGTCATCATAGGGTCAGTCCCTGACTACCCCTCCGACTAATCCAAATTCATCCATTAATTATTAATTATGATGAATTATGAAAGATATCATTAATTAATATTTCAAATTAATAGTTAATGCACCCAAATATCATTTTAATTTAAAAACAGAACCCTAATGATCCAACTAGTGAGAGTAGAAAATTTCTGGACATAGCCTAACATTAGATATAATACCCTGCAAAATTTCAGAATTTATCTCTTAATAGTTTTTCCATATTCTCCCTTTTAGTGTTGAGAAATAATAATTTTTTTTTTAAGGTTTTATTTTGTAAACCTACCGAAATAACATTTGAAATCTGGATTTTTAACAAAACCAAATTCATTATACAAAAATATAATATTCTGGTATCTAACACAATTTTTGAAATATTTAAAATATTTTTCCTTTATTTTCTAATGTAAAACTATAAAAAATAATAATAATATTTAAGTATATTATTTCAACGCAATACAACAACACACTATTCCTCACTCAGTGTTACCGAGAGTAGTTGAATCATAGAACCCAAAACAAATGAGTCTTCTACCCAAAATAGTTCTATGCAATAAAATTTAACACCTAAAATGGGTCTTCCACCAGTTTGAAGTTATTCTTTCCAGAACCTCAGCCAATAACCTCTAAATTGTGTTCCCAACCATGCACGACCAAGTACAAATCCACCTTGTTAAAAACAGGTCATACCCACATTCATGGGTTATTTATTGCTTAATTTATTAACATACACACGTGAATTAATTCATGAAACTAGTCTAAACACCATGATTTTTAATCCCAAAGTAATGATTTCCAAGACCCAGTTCTAGTACTAATCCACTGCCATATAACAACATACACACATGAATACCTCTTTGAGTGAAACTCTACAGGAATTTCATTCCTATAAATATATATCTACCACATGAAGATTACATTACTTCAAACAGTCCACACATAAACACACGCACTATATATAATTACAGTAGATCAGATTTGCCCTTAATCAAAACTTAAAGTTAAGATTATATGAAATTTTATATACACAAATACAAATATACTTAAAGGTTCATGTATCTTAATTGTAACCAAAGTAACTCTACAAATTACATACATGCATAGTCATTCTCAAACACGTAAATATGAGTACATTAATAAATAAATCGTTATTATTACTATAAATTATAACAATGAAATAATCTAAATTTCATATTCAACCAATAACATTATTCGTAAGAAAGGTAAAGACTCTTAAGGTTACTTGATTAAATACAAATATTTATGCAACCAATTTATAATGTATTCTTAATCATCATCACAGTGACTTGCAACAAGATATTAAAATATGTTAAAATATACATCTTTTTAAGAAGTTACGAATATATATAGAACTACAATGCAAGATTAACTTGCCTGGGTAATTAACTCTTCCTTCCTACGCGAATTCCCACTTATCGTTCCTTCCCTCAGCTACTGCAGAAAGATACGACGTCAGATCACTCTCTCTGGATCTACGTCCTATCACGCTGTATCGTGCTAATATTATAAATATATTTTTTAAAAAATAATGTCCTCGTAGAACTGATATGACGTGAAATATAAAGATAACTATAACTGCATTTGAGATTGTTTAGGATTCCTATTTAAATTTTAAATTTAAAAACTCTAATATCTCTACTATATTTTTAAATTCAAACATAGATAACCATTAAATTAAATTAAATAAATAAATATATGTATATATATTTATTTATTTATTTATTTATTTATTTATTTATTTTTACACGGGTCTTACAATACTTTACAAAACAAAATAATTTTTACCAAATATATTTTTTTACTATTTATTACTACAATACTCGATAAAAATAAAGATATTAAAAATAAAACATGTACCAAACATGTCCATAGTTTTAAATTGTTTATACCCCCACCTACTGAAAGATTTGACGATTCTTCCTAGTGTTTACTTTTATAGAAAGGAACAATTGATCATATTATTTTATTTTGCCAACCAAGGAGAGTCAAATCATTAATCAAATGGATATTATAGAGTTACTAGAGAATTTGTGCATGGGCCCATTAAGTGGCACAGGAGAATACCGTGTGACATACACACAAGATATAAAAATCATAGTTTTTCCAAAATTCTCAAGAAACAAATTAAATAGAATAAATTATATTTACTTATCTTTAGATTTGAACAAATTACATGACAAATTGTGAATATTTAAAGCGAGAGCTAATTTTTAGAGAATTTTACAGTAAAGTGGTAGTAACAAAAGTTTATTACACATACATGAACGTTGTTTACATATTTACATATACATGAACTAAGTTCTATTTTAACCCTTTAGTAAGCTAAAATTATATTTTTGTCCCTAAAGTTTAGTTTATGCACAATTTACCTAAAGAAACACTTGTACAAATTTTAGAATTTTGTCAAACAGCACTTAGGAACTGCAACATCGCACTAAAATTAGGAGACACAACACGCAGCCTACAACGAAGAATAGAAGAACTTAGATCTAGAATTACATTAATACAAAATATTTTAGAAGTTAGACGGCAACGATTTTAGTTTATGAATAGAATAGACTTTAATAATTTAGATAACTCTATAAAACGATTAGGAGAAAATCTTGATTATATTAAAGAACAAGTAATATAGAATTCTAGCCCAAATAATTTAGATAATAAAATAATATTAGTCGCCATTAAAGATATAAATAACGATATTAAAAATATTTCTGAAAATCAAAAAATTATTATAGATTATTTAAAATCTCTTAAAACCGATATTCAAAAGCTATTATAATAGTTTTATGAGCACTAGTAATCCTGATTATCTAACAGCTGTAGTCGAACTTTATAAAATCGATAAAGAACCAATATGATTTACAAGTTTTAAAACAGACGTACAATCAACTAATATACATATTCGACAAAACAATTTTTTAATCCAGTTATTACTCCAGTTATCTGAAAAAGTTAAAAAACTCGAAGAAAAATTAGAAGTAATACAAGAAAGTATTCCTAGAGAATTTTCTAAAGAATTATCTGAATTATCAGATAAAATAAATGAGATAAAATTATCAACTACTAATCAGTTCTCCCAGCCTGAAACCAAGCGTGTAAATTTATTACAACTAATAAACAAATACCATAACGGCCATTATTCTTAGAAAAGCCAAAGAAATAATGAGAGTAGAAGATTTATGTGATAATGAAGAAGATGCCAAAAAATATATCGAACAAGGAATGAAGAAGGTAAAAAATAAAGTGAACCTTTACTCTAATAATTTACTAGATTTTTAGAGTAAGATATATAATCATTTTAGCCAAAGAAGAATAAGTGCTGTCAACAATCAAGTTATCATAGACCTTATAACACCAGAGGCCTGTCAATAGTTAAATAATAATAATTTAGAACTTATGCATCTAGGTGTCATAATGATAGGATTAGTAGGATTAAATAGAGCAGAAATAGGAACTAGAGCACTTGCTTATATTTATGATGATCGATGGAGTAACTATCAACAAGTATAAATTGCTAGCGCTGAAATAGATTTAACAGCCAATGCAGCCATCGTAGAATGTATCCCCAATTATACAATGACTACTAGAGAATTCAGTAAATATATTAAAATAGCTATATCTACCAAATGATATAATATGACAGGACAGTTTGAAAAACTATTAGTCAATACTTTATTTATGGGAAAAAACAATTAATCAATATAACTTGAAATTTAAAGCCCAATTTAGTGAATTAGTTAAACTTTTTAGTAGCAAATATGTTCAAATGATCGAAGTTAGAAAAGTAAGCAGTATTACCTATAAAGGAACAGAACAGAAATTACCTAATCTCACCACTACAATTAAAAAGACCTCTGAAAGTAATATGATATATGTAACAAATAGTGGAGAAGCTAGTATACGGTTTAGTAATTATAAAAGACAAGATAATTTAGGCGATGATACCTAAGAAGACTTTTTAACCACACTCATAGAAATTGAATCCCCTGAAGAAATAAATGTCCTTTATGATAGATTAGAAGATGAAATC